CCTCCTACCCGTGACGTGACCGCTGCTCTCCTACTCGACTGAGAGAGCTCCTCCTACCTCGTGACGTGACCTCTGAGAGCTCCTCCTACTCGTGACGTGTCCGCTGAGAGCTCCTCCTCCCGTTATGCTCCCGAGCCCTGCTCTGGCTTGTCCTCTCGGCCGCGCCCGTGTCGCTCCTCCGTGACCGTGCGACGCCGTCGACCCTCCCCCGCACGATCGACCCGCGCCCCCAGCGCCGGGGCTGGGTCGGTTCCATCGTCGGGCTGCCGATCCACTGCCGTGGTGTCGAGGGCGGAGGGGGGGGGGGCATGCCAATCCGCGGCAGGGGTGTCAGAGCCGGGGAGGGGTGTCAGGCGCGCCTGGCTGTCAGAGCCGGGGTGGGGTATCAGGTACGCCCGGGAATCGCTGGCCACTTCGTTTTCAAGCCAATGGGGGCTGTCAGCCGCCCCGGCTGGTGCGGGCGGTGCCAGAAAAGGGGTGTCAGGGCCTGCTTGGGCTGCAGGCGTCCGTGTGGTGTCAGTGTCCTGAGGAGGCTTGCCCCGCCTCCGGCAGCTGACTGATCCGTGCGGGACGCTGGCCAGCGGAACCGACCGATAACAGCCACTGCTACCTGCCGCTGAACCTCCCCCCTCCCCACCCTCCTCCCCACCCCGCCCGGATGGCGCGGACCCACCACTGACAGGCCGACCGCGTCCCCCGGGTCTGTTCGGTATGTCCGCAGGCCGGCGTTCATTCATTTGAGATGGAGTCCGCGTCTGTGATGGAGTTTGGATGCGTGCCCTGGCGGCGCCGACGCTCTTTGTTGGTTTCCGTGGGCTGTGCTCTTGTAAGCAGCTGTTGGAATTCCGGGGTTCGTTCGGGGAGTTTCATTCAGTTCGCCACGCCACCGGAGTTTCACTGGCGGCTGGGTGTTCGAACAGCACCGTCGTGAGTAAATGCCAGCTACAGCACCTCATTGAACCGATGGGCCAAGAGCTGACGATGGTCGTATTTACTTTGCACCGAGTTCCCGCACTGATTTCAGAATGTTTTCGGCTTTGCCACTTGGTCTAATCGTTTTCTGTTGTTGTAGTAATATGAAGGCGAGAAATGTGAATGGGAGAAAAGGTAAAAAATATAAATATACGTGGCCGGTATGTGCCTCCCGTGTCAGAAGGCACTGCGCGATCCAACGCAGCGATGAGCACGTCTTAATTATCTGGCAATCTCTAACAGGTGTTCTGGGCCTGTGTTTGCCAGGCAGAGTTTTCCAGCCTTCTTAAGAATAACACGTCTGGCAACCTAGTAACTCGTCTGCTAAGGTTTACGAACTTGAACAACACGCAGCTGTCACCTACAGCTGTACGAACAATCTATGAAATAAATGAAATCTACGAATCTCACCTTGCTGTTTTATGTCGACAGCCTTACACAGAGGTGGATGTTCCACATGTAAGTCACCTCACCGAAGTGTGACGCCTGTCCGCCCGTCATTTCAGCGTCTGGTGGAGCTGGTGCTGCAGGAGCACCTGGCCGAGCGGGGCGGCCGGCCGCCGGACAGTCCCGGTCGGCCCGACCGGACGCGCCAAGGCTCCGGCCAGGCCGGCAGCCACCACCTGCAGGTCGAGCTGGCCGACTGCAAGGCTCGCCTGCGCAAGGTCAAGCAGGAGCTGTGAGTACGCGGCGGCGGGTCGGCTCAATCACGGCCTGGTGCGCTGCTGAGGACTGGCCGCGGGTCATCGGTCGCACGCTGACTGAGTGGGAGGGGGTGGAGTCTAGGCTGGGGCGCTGCTGAGGACTGGCTGCGGGTCATCGGTCGCACGCTGGCCGAGTGGGAGGGGGGTGGAGTCTAGGCTGGGGCGCTGCTGCTGGGGGCTGGCTGCTGGGGTCACACGCTGGCCGAGCGGGGGAAGGTGGTAGAGTCTGGGCTCGTCTCGTCGGCGGGACGTCGCGGGATGTTGGTGTGCACTGGTTGGTTGGTCCGTGTGTGTTATAGTGTTCCACAGGGAGCGTGATATTCGGGTGGTTTGGCTTAGCCATGGGAGTTGTTGGCGCGTGGCATAATCCCCAATAGCTGCGAGCACTGCTGTTTGGGGTTTAAGTACCCAACTTGTGCAGGCCGAGATTGGACCACCTGCAGTTTGGGGATCATCCAGCCCGTTTTAGTCATGGTTTTGGCCGGCGTGAAGTCGAGCTTAGCCGAAACTAGCTAGCGCATCCGGGAATACTTGTGTGCAGCGCTGCGGAATGTACGGATCTCCGCAAAATCACCGAAAATTAGTAGCTATCATGGGCTACGGTGGAGGGTGCTTTCCACGAAGTGCCGGTCTTTCCATTTCGCGGGAATCCATTTGTTTCATGCCCCGAGTAACTCGTGACGCACTCGAGCGTTATTTGATGTTGCGTCGTGCCAGGAAGATCTGAATGGCTCCCGGATTACTGTCGTCACACGTTTGAACGCTGACCGCTGACGTCTGTTGCCGGGGTGCCTCCGTCCTGTTATACTGGCCGGGAATGTGACGGCCGGTCGCGTCCCGGCCTGCCAGCTGGCGCCGGTCCGACACGCTCAGCGTCGAGTGGCTCCGTCGGCACCGCCAGCCGCGCCGTGACCCTGCTGACCCGACCCGAGGGAGCAGGTGTCGAGGGGCGGCCGACAGCTGCGGGCCAGCGCAGAGTGCGGGGAAGGAGGGCGTGGCGGGCTCTCGAGGTGCCGCGTGACCCAACCGCTCGTCCAGCGAGCTCTGATTCACTCCCGTGACGGTCGGTCCCAAGTCGGCAGATCGCGCTGTGCGGTTGGTCCGGCCAGACCTCAGCTGTGGATGAGGTTCGAGGCTCCACAAGAGCCGCCGGCCCAGGAGCGCCCCGCGCGAGCCTCCACATGCCGACGGCTGCGCTGCCCGCTTCGCCGATTGTCATCGCGTGGACCCCCCGATGGCCGGCGGCGCCGTGCTGGGTCGGCCTCGCGCCCGCCGGTGCCGGCCGTGGGTCAGGTCAGGGCCGGCCCAGCCGCGCCCCTGACCGGCGGCCCGCGCTCGAACCGGGCGCTCGGCCCCGATTCGCTCGAGCCGCGCGCCGTCGGCGGTGAATCGAAGAGGCCGGAAGCGGGCCTCGGGCCCGTGCGCCGCTCGTGACGAGCCGATCCGGCCGGCGCCGGAAGCGGGTCATTCGACGAGTGACCCGCCCGCCGCGACCTGGAGGCCGACCTCAGTCGCCTCGGGGCGCCGCCCATCGGCACATCAAACGCCGCAAATGGGTCCTGCGACTGGTTTTTGGGCGTGCGAGGCTGGGTTTGCCGCGCGAAAGGTGGCATGTTAGGTCGGGCGGTAATCGAGACGATGTGGGGCATGGTTTCAGCCCGTCCTTGTAAGTGGCGCATCGTTCCTTTGTGTAATGTCATGCGCCGCTCCTCCGCTGCTCCTTCACTCTAACTAGATAACTGAGATAAAAGACGCCTGTCTTGTGTCTCCAAGCAGAGCCACTCGCTTATATCGTTTGTAGGTGAGTTGTTCATTGTTCACCCTAACATTGATTTGAGTTCTGTAAGGGTTTCATACGCTTGTCGTCACGGGCGATTAGGCCGCCTCCTGCCTTCTGCGCCGGCCTTCTATTCTTTGTCTGGATTCCACTCTTGTCGCTACTTCCGCTGCTGCCGTGATCGGCTTCGGCTCATGCCGCTCCTGTGAGCACGAATCCGACCACTGAGGGCGCCGCTAACGGCGCGTGGTGCCGAGAACGACGAACCAGTGCTCTCCTCCAGCGAGCCGCACGCCTCCCTGCGGGATCACGCGGGCTGTGCGCGTGGCGCCGCTAGCGCAACCGATCGCGCTGGCCACCGTGCAGTGCTTCGGCCGGCACCGTCAGCTCGCCGCTGCTTGATTTATGCTTCCTCGTGTAGTTTACGGCCCGGGGCAGCAGCGGAGGCGAATCAATCGGTTCCGTAAATCAGACAGGTGCCACCGATGATCATCACCGCCTCGACGACGGGAAGGCATGAGGAAGTGAACGCTTGCTCTCCCGTGGATCCTCACTGCTCGGCGATGGCCACAAAAACGAGATGGTAATGAGTGCGTTTGTATGACAGTGTTTGTCGCGGGAAACAGCCGTGGGATGACTTAAGGGTCTTGTAAATGAAAAAGTTTGGGAACTTGTACAGCGTTTCACTGTTTTGGGCCGCGCCGGCTGGGGGTGACTTCTGGAATTTGAAACCTGCCGTGTTTTATTAAGCTTAGACCCGATACTCCAAAACCGTTATAGTTATTCACTCACTCCGCTCCATTTTTTGTGTCGGTAGCTTCGATTTTTTGCCCCGCGCCTAATGTCTATCAATTACCGGGACGGATTTCCGAACCAATTAGGTTCTCAGAGCTTCGGGGGACGTCTCGTCATTGGCCGAGTCGTAGCCCAAGGGCAGCTGCGGTTAAAGTTAAAGTCTGTACACTGAAAGAGCTGCGGTGATCTGGTGATCATCTTTATGCACTCGTAAAGCATGTATCTGCCAGGCATTGATCTATAAGCAGCTTTAAATGATGTCCGGTATTCATGTGGCCCAAGCGCGGATCAGGCTTCATTCAATCTGCGAATATCTACGATCCGGGGCTGTGACTTAGATCGGTTATCCCGCCCATCGCATTTTTCCCTCCCACCCAACAGCAGACCGGTTGTTTGTGCCGCGTTCTTCAAACATCAAACATGTGCCGCGAGATGAACCTGCTCCAGCCCCGCCTCGTGCACACCGACCTAGCGCTTTAGCGCAGCTCCATCTTACCGTTCCTCACGCGCGAAATCGAGACAACACGATAGCTCTTTCCCCTTGATTCAGTGCATCATGCGTCGTTGCTGCGGGCCCTCGTGCCGCGTGTTGGTAGTGCGTAACATACCATCCCAGCCCGGCCCGGCCAGCCAGCCAGCCCCGCCCGGCCCAGCCAGCTGAGCCCGGTCCGCGGACCCGGCTCGTGTGGCCGGGACTGCCGAGCGGCGCGCGGAGCATCCGCGGCCGCTGCTGCGGGTGGCGCGCCCGTGGCGGCGGTGTCGTTGACCTTCCCTGGGTACAGCGCGGCGCGGCCGCCAGCTGCCCGTGCCATGAGAACACGAGCCCGACACGGCCCGGCCGGCGGCGCCTAATTGTTTGTACCGCCCTTGTTCCGCGGCAGTCCCGGCTTCTGATGGCCGGATGGGAGCTCGGCCTCGGCCTGTGATGGGAGATGCAGGCGCTGCTGATGGTGGACTGGCCTTGGGAGGGTGGATGGACTGGACTTAGGACTTAGGACTTAAGACTTAAGGACTTAGGTGGAGAATGGTTGGATAGGTTTGTGATGCAGGATTTGTGCGCGTGATTATGAAACTGACCTGGACGGGGAAACAGTTGGATGGTATGACGGACACTTGGTGGTCAGATGGTTTTAGATAGCGGTAGATGATGAAGCAGTGAGGCGGGCCTCTGTTGGTGTTGTGACCCTCCTCAAAGGAAAGCGGCCTCTGTCGACAAGGGTGGACTCCGTAATGTGCAGTGGAACTCTCATGATGCCTTGGACCGCGGACAACGGGCTACCTTTTGACGGTCAGACGAGCTTTTGAGCGTGGCGTGGGCTTCCAGATGAAGGGGAAATTACTCCGGCGTAAAGACGCTTGGTCATAAATCGGTGTCTACTGATCGTGGACATTTCGGAGATGCGGTGTGCTTGAACAGCATAAAACGTCGTTCGCTGGTGCTGTTAGGATGTGGCCGGTTTGTCCCGGATAAGTAAGTGGATTACCTGGAGGAGCAGTTAAGCTGAATGGGTTATTCACTTGGACTGAGCTCGAATGAGCTTGACCTGAGAGGGTACGTGGTAACATGCTGGAAATATTCTTCTCAAAAAGCCTTCCCGGCTCGTTATACTGGGTTTGCTGGGCGACATGATCATCTGCGCTGGCTGGGGTCTAGTGGTTTGGGGAAGCGTGAGAGCTGTTGATGGTAAAGCAATGTGGCACAATGTGTAGCAAAAAACGCGTGCAAACTATTGCACAGGGTCATCTGTGCACTAGCACACCGATATCTCCACTGATGAAAAGGAATCTCACAAACGTGGCTATGTATATCGTACAGCGTGTTTCAGCTGAACATGACGTTGATCTGGCCGTTTGCAGGGAGGAGAAAGACGGAGCAGTTGCTGGAGCTGCGGGAGGAGCTGGAGACCAACAAGCAGACGCTGAGCAAGTTGCGGGCTGAGGTGGGTCACGCGCTGAGTCCCCGCGAGCGAGGCGGGGCGCCGGCTCGGCGGCCGGCTCCACCGACAGACGACCGCTGCCGGCTGCGTCAAGGCGCCGCTGCCGGCGGCCGCGCCCTCTCACGGGTGGGGACCGCACGCCGGCTGTGGTCGACTCAGGTTGCAGGGGTTTGCCGGGGTCTGAAGGTCTCAAGCGGTCGGCGGTGGTGCTGCATGACGTCGGGAATCCTCTGGTTGCGGGTGGTGAACTCGACCGGGGGAGCTGTTGCGGCTGGAGACTACTGGAAAAGTTGATGTAGCGCAGCTGTCGGAAAGAACGTCGTTCAGCTGGCAGGTGCTAAACTTGTGGAATGCAGCAAAGGGCTGACGTGGCCACTGCCGACACCTGCAAACAGCGTCCTCCGTCCACGAGTGCCGTGGGTCGTCTCGGGAGCACCACAGTCAGCAGTGCGTGCTCGTCGGGGTCTGTTTGGGGCCCATCAGCGGTGTGGCCGACCCGGCGGCCGGCCGAGTGACCCCCGAGCCGCCGGCGGCGCCCGGGGCCAGCGCTCTATGGCTCGTTTGTCCATTGTCTCCGGCGGCCGGTCATTTGTTAGCGGGTCAGGCGGGATCGGAGAGGTCGCAGGGGTCGCCGCCGCCTGGAATTGGTTTGCGGCGGCGGCGGGCTGTGCGAGTGAGGAGTTGAGTGCCTCTGTCAGGCGACGCCGTGTTTGGACACCCACCGCATTGTAATGCTTTCCTTGTGAGGCACCAAAACAATCAAAAGGCAATCAAAGTATGCTCAATCGCCATTTCTTCATTGGTCCTTGAATAATACCCCCGCAAATTGATGATCCGCTATCATTCATTCCATTTCATCATCGTGAGGTTTACGGTTATTGAAACCATCTGATACGGATTCTGCAACATGCTACACGCTTAGCATGTTCGCCAGTAAATCCACCTGGTGGGGCCCGACTGCCATGCTAATGCGGCGAGGCCGGAACCCTCGGTCACGCCAGAGCCGGCCCTCGATCAGCGCTCCGCTTCCTGCGAAGCGTGACCGGACGCGGCGGGCCGGGGTCAGCCTGCTGACCTGCCGGCCGACTGCCGCGGGCTGCACCGGCCGCCCGCCGCCGCCCAATATGGCGCGCCCGCCTGCTGACCCGGTTATGCTCTCGGACGGGGGTCAACGTGCAGGCTGGCAGCCGGCGCCCCGGTTGTGAGCGTCACTGGGTATGACTCGTGGCGTCGCTGACGGTGGTTTACTACGGTGTGTAGAAAATTGTGGACATCACGTCATATTGCCCTGCGGTGCCTCGATATAACGAAGTGCCCAGTTGAAGTATCCGTGAGCAAAATCGTCATCGGCAGCACTGAGAGGTGTCGCCTGTGACGTCAGCAGTGACGTCACCGGGCTATGCTGGCTCGGGTTTCCGCCGTAACGAAAGAGAAGCTCCGGTGACATTTACATCCCGTACTGAACCAGCCCAGAAGGACCCGCTTCCGCGAGCTTCGCGCGGCTAATGAGATCGCCGGCGGAGATCTGAGACGCGACGATGTTGATCCGGGGGCGCAGGGCTGCGGGCATTCGCTGCAACGTGACAGCACGTAACGGACCGTCCTCGAAGCATCGGACTCGGTTCCGCACGTCAGCCGACAGGCTCGCCGAATCGATTCCGCCGGTGGCGCGGCCGCCTCGCCGGCACAGTCGGGGTGGACCCGTAACGACTTGACCCGCGGGTCAAGGTCGGGCGGGAGCGGCGCGGCGCGACGCTGGGAACGCGCGCCGGAGTCCCGAGCCGCCGGCAAAAACGGACAAACGGCGAGCGGCGACGCACTGCGGCGTCGGCGCGCCGCCGGCTGGCCGGTCCGGTTTTATGGAGACGCGGCGACATGAATCACCGAGAGATGGCGGCACTGAGCCGCGGGGGTCGCGGCCAGCTGGCGCCAGAGCGCCTTACCGTCGCGACCAGACCTCTGACCTGACCTGAGGGCGCAGTGACCTGCCGACCCGACCGTCGAGCGCGGCCGGCGGAGCGCGACAGACGGGCCGGGGCTCAGCTGTTAGCGCGTGTGCCGTTGTGCTGGTCCTCGGCTCGGGGTGGCCGCCCGCCTGTGGTTGTCGGGCTGGAGTCCCGGACATCCAAGCTTGCCTCGGACGATCGGGACGCGAGGAGCGTGCTGGAGCGGGTGGCTCGTGCAGAGACGAGGAAGGGTAGTGCTCACTTCTGGCGAGGTGTCAGTTCGTAGCAGAGGCCGGAGAACCCTGCTATCACTGCAGCTCCATCCAAGCTGTGCCTCGAGCCGACGCTGCCGCAGTGTGACAAGTCATTGAGTTGAGTGCCGAGCTCGTTGAGCTCCACGTCGAGCTTCATCTAGGTCGAGGGGCAATGGGCGACCACCCCACTCACACGTATTGAATGACGTACTTGAAAGCATCGATTCCATGACGTGACGGAGAGTGGTGGCCGCTCTTAAAAGCTTCGGCTGAGTGAAGGCCTTCAGGCAAATGGACGCGATCTGTTGGGCTGCATGACCGAAGACTGATCTATTGCAACTTTACGGGGCCCGAACCACTTGGGCTTGGTTATTTTTAGCTCATCTTTCCCTTGCAAACATCTGCAGTCGGCAGAGCTGGTGCCAAATCGACTTCGCTCTCTTCAACTGGATCGTCTACGTGACCGGAAATTACAACGATTGCTGGGACCTGGAATTCCTTGAAATCGTTTCGGAACACGCATTGTGCGTCCGTGAAATGGACGTCCGAATTATCATTGCTGACTCCGCGCTGATGGGAGGTGATTACAAGTTTCCGCAAGGTAGCGTTTAATCGTGGCTATGCCGGGTTGGCGTGCGTGTGTCGGGTTGGTGGAGGTCGTCAGAAAACGTTTATGAAACACTGCCAGCCGTCGACTGCAGCAACTGATGGCGAAGGGAATGATTGCTCCCTAAATGCTGGCCTGTGTCTGTCCTACAACAGCACCCGCAGATCGGCAGCCCTGTCGATATGTGGTTAGAGCAGGTGGAAAATTAGCTCTAATCAAATCGATCGGCCACGAAGCGCCGTCTTGGCTGGCCTGTCTGATGCCTAACTTTGCCAGGCTGGCCTGCTTGATGGCTAACTTTGCAAGCCTGACCTGCTTGATGGCTAACTTCGCAAGGCACGGCTCGAAATTGCAGCAGCTGTGGACGATCTGACACGGCTGGACACCCACGCCCTGTGGAGGGGGCTGTGTGTCAATCCCGGTGCACGGAACACTCTGGTTTACTCCCGAGCGTTCTGTTTTCACCGTGCCAGACCATGTCCACAGCCTGGGGGACTCGGGCATGCATCCGCCCCAACATTGCCGAGAGATTCGTCCCAAAACGGCTTAATGCGTTGCGTTAATGAGTGCTTTGTTGAAGCTCACACACCTTGTCTGCGCAGCCTGTCACTGGGCGTGATGCTACCTGATCTGATCTGACCTGATCGTAACTTAACCCGACCTGAAGCAGCTTACCCAGGATTCGAATTCGTTCTTACCTTTGACACGACCTCTGACTTGACCCTTGACATGGCCTGGTGTACAGTGGCATAATCCCTACTCTATCCAGCCTGCTCTGTCTAGATCCGGACATTTCTTCTTGACCCAATCTGATCTGACCTGACCTCGGCGGCAGAACCTGGAGCTGGTGCAGGACGCCCGTGCCGCCAAAGCCTACAGAGATGAGCTGGACATCGTGCAGGAGCGCGCCAACAAGGTGGACAAGCTGGAGGCCGAGCTACAGCGTTACCGTGACAAGATGAACGACATTGAGTTCTTCCGTTCACGCGTCGACGAACTCCGCGAGGACAACAGGTCAGCCGCTGCGCCTGCCCCCCCCCCCCCCTCCCCGGAAACGGAAACGGGGCCTGAAACACGCGAGATTCTGGAAGGCGCTGCATGCATGCGTCTTTGCCGTGCTGGCGGGATCATGTTTGCAATGTTGCAAGTGATTTTCATTGCTGTATTTGGAGTGCAGCCAAGCTTCCTTTGCTGATGCTCGTCCACGTGATGATAATCCAGCATTTGCGCATGCGACGCCAGTATGCCGCGGTTTGTCGGTTTGCGGTTTGGTTTGCCTTCGGTTTGCCTTCACCAAGGTTAGACTCTCACGGTTGTCATAACTGATGCATGAACTTTTCGGGTGCAGTCATATATTGAAAAGAAAATGGAATCTCACGGAATTTGGTTTGCATGGAAATAAGGCCGAGCCGGGTGCTGAAGGCTGCGGCCCACATTTCACCGCTACGATCTGCATATTGAAAGACAAGCAAAGTTACCGATAGTTATTTTGGAAGCAGAATATTGATGACAAGCAAAATTACTGCGTTCCAGGTGTCCATTCATCGTTTGCTGTAAAGTGTGTTAAGATTCTCAAAGCGCCTGAGTCACAGCTGCGGTAGCGTGATAACAGAGATTGTCTTCGCTCTCAGCCATTCAAGTTATGAGGCCGTTCCCGATATCTATGGGCTCAGGGGTATTTTCCGTTAGGCGATGGTGCCCCAGTGTCTCACGATCTGCCAGTCAAGAACCGGTAGATCAAGCTGACACGATCCACTGTGTCGTCAGGATCCTCGTGGAGACCAAGGAGATGCTGGAGGAGCAGCTGGAGACGGCCAGGAAGCGAAGCGAGCAGATCGTGGACCTGGAGACGTCCGTGTTGAAGTACAAGCAGCAGATCAATGACCTGAGTATGGTGAGTCGGCCGACACGACTGCCGTGGTTTCGTTTTAGCGCGTTTTCCGCAGCAACTGCCAGTCGCGCGGTCTGAGTGCGCGTCGCCTGCGTGACTGCCATGGTTTCGTGCTTGACAGGTATAGCAAATAAAATAAAATAAAATAATATGATGCAATACCGCTACGTGGCGACAAGACAATGAATATGCTGAGCAGACAAAGGCACGATGGTAGACGATTGTAGCGATCAGATACAAGCTTCTCAAAACGGAATATTGTAATTTCCCGTGCGTGTAGTCGAGCCAATCTGTCACAATGAACCACTTTGGACGGCGAATGCTGCACCTGCGCTGCTCGTCGATGACGTCACAGCTCATCGGTGATGTGACGGCGTGCCTGCCTGTTGATGACGTCACCCTGTGCCCGTCATGGTTGCCGTCATAGTCTGTGTGCCTGTCGGTGACGTCGATGGCGTGCTCGGCGGCCAGGAGCGGGACATGGACCGGGACCGGATTCAGGAGCTGCTGGAGGAGAACGCCCGGCTCCAGCTGAGCAGCCGCAACACGCTCAACGAGTCGGCCTCGCTGGTGGCGGAGCTGGACACGCTGAGGTCGCACCAGAAGGATGGTACGTGGTCAGCCGACCGGCGTTGGAATAATGACACCGTGGTGGTGGTGACCGCGGAGGGCGTCTTTTCTCAGAGCAGTGGTCTAGGGCGCTTAGTGTCCATACTTTTTGAGTGCGTAGTGATTTTTGGAAATATTATTGGTTTCTCCCCCCCCCCCCTCCCTTTCTTCACGAAACCCCCAGGGTCCACTGCTTTGGTGACGGTGGCATGGAAAAGCTGCGAGGTTAGATCAAAAAGATACTCGCAACGCCCGCGTTGTGTTATAGAAAGCGGTGCAATGACTCTCGTCAAACAACTGGCACCCCGTACAGAATGTCTAATGCAGTATCACACCGCCTACGCCTATGATTGTGACTCGGGGCATGGAGAAATGTGCGTGATGTGGTAGGTCACAGAAAGGCTCGAACCCGCCACGTGGAGCACTACGGCTGCATCTGTGTATCAATGCAGAGAGCGAGGCGCACTGCGCGCTGCGAGTGGCGGCCCAAACACTGCACGCTCTCACTCTCTGATTACCCGCTGGAGAGTGTCGTGATCACCGGGATTGTAAGCTGCGTTCGTTCATCACGCCTCGCTGCTCTAATGTCTTAAGCTGTTTTCGCTCGGCGGCAATGAAGCGTGATTCGGAGGGCGCCCAGATTATCCTCTGAAGGTTGCGTCATAGCTTTCCGGCGGGGAGTCTTGTACGATTTTCCCGATCGAGAGATCCTCGCTATACAGGCTTTTACAGCATTGATAGTGTTATGCTTACGAATGTCGACGCGGTGAATTCGCTGCCCTCTAGAAGCATGAAGTGTTTCTTTTTGCGCTTTGTTTTTTGCCGGTGAGTTGATCTGGGCCCATTACTAGGTCGAAGCCCCCGTCCATGGATCGCTGCGGGTTTGCCATTCTCAGAAGCTTGTTAGACCGGGTAGAGGGATGTCAGGAGTCAGAAAAGAGCAGGCGCATTAGCTGCGACAAACCGCGAAGCCTGCTTTTTGTTGCCCCGAGAGGACGATGCACTCCGCCGACTCCTGAGGTCAGTCGGCCAGGAATGCAGCTCCAGAAAGGGCTCCCGACGGTGGGTGATTCGTCCTGCTGTTCTGCGTTCTCAGCGCATGGCCTGGGCCTTTGTGCGATACTGGACACGCAACCTCTACGCTCGACCTGTGCTTGTGATCATGTTCTCAGCACGCAATGTGCCTGCATGAGCGCGTTCTCATCGCGTGATGTGCATGCGGCAGGCTCCTCCGGCCACAGCAGCCTCTCGGACCAGCTCAGCACCGACGCGCACGGCCGGGCGCTGCGCCTGGAGCTGGAGAACCAGCGCCTGGTCGGTCTGGTCGAGTCGCTGAAGGAGGCCAACGCCCGGCAGAGCAACGAGCGCATCCTTGAGCTGGAGAAGGAGAACAAGCGGCTCAGCCTCAAGGTCGGTGGACACCGCGCGGTGTGACGGGATAACGGCCGGTCAGAGCTCTCAGGCCAAGGATGATACTATCGCTGCTCCGCTAGCGATGGGCTGTAACAAGACCGGACACATTTTTGTGTTGTGGTAGGCGATGTTTCGTGCTCGGTCTGATCCGTGCACGATGAATTTTGATGAAAGTGATCGTGTCGTTGCAAGTTTACCGACGTGTGCGATTGCTATCAAGTAACTGTACCTGAATGGTGAAGATTCGTCAAAAAATTGTTTGTCACGAGGAATGGTTGTGTCTGTGGAGAATGGAGCCGTGTGCTCCGCGCTGTTTCCAAAGACAGTGCAATTATGCATTCCGTTGTTTCCGCTCTTGGTGCCTTCTGTGATGAAACCAAACACACGTAAAGTTTGACAATTATCTTTCATTGCCATTTTAATGCAAATTCTCTGTTTGCCCTTGCTCCCAGTCGCGTCCGCTCAGGATTATTAAATTTTGGCTCGTCCTATATCTCCTAAAGACTTTAAAAGCTCCACCCCAGAGTCTCCCATTTCTTGACTGGTGGCCCTTCCCCCCTCCCCGTCCTGGCATGCCGCCCACTCCGGTCGCGTCACGTGGCGGGCTGCCGCTAGTGTAGTGGTTAACGCGTCTGCGTTAACCACTGCGCATCTCGGAAACCAGAGGTACGGGATTTGATTCCCCGCTGTGCCCTCCCTTCCTGTCGGGTAAGAGGCAGGCGACGCCATATAGCCTCAGCAGTTGAGTGCATCGTTGAGCCCCAATGACACACACACACACGCACACACACGTCACGTGGCCATTGTGACTTCACGCGGCAGGTGGAGCAGCTGCTGGAGGCGAGCCAGCAGGAGGTGGCGCGGACCGAGGAGCTGGAGCAGGAGCGGTCGCAGGGCGCGCAGCAGACCAAGCGGCTCCAGGAGGTGATCGAGAACGGTGCGCGAGAACAGCGACCGGCAGCAGGCCGAGCTGCAGGTGCGTGCGGCTGCCGTCAGCACGGTGACCGGGGCCACGGCGACGGCTGGGGTGGCTCGCCACTCTGGATGACAGGACCGTGCGTGCTGATGGGTTAGGCGAGCAAGTAGATATAAATTCGGGAGGCAGTTTTGTCGGTCGGTCGGTTGGTGGGCAAGATTGGTCTATGTCTGGCCGCTGTATCGTTTTCCGCGGTGCATTTCTGTTGGCTTTGATTGCTCAGTGAGGTTTTGGTTTGGAACATTATCGCCCAGCATATTTGAGATCTTCCATTTTTCTTCTCACTGCCTGATTTTCGCGTTTTAATCGTTGCACAATTTCAAACGAAAAGAAAGAGACTGCGGTTCATCGCGGTCTGTACAGCTAAATGCAACTGGCGGTGATGACTGTCGAGCCTGAGCTTAAGCCAAAAACAAACTACTTGCCTCCATCGATAGACAACACGAATGCAACCAACTTCAGTTGGCGGCCTCCCGCAACCGACTCACTCTTTTCCAAACCCCTGGACCTACTTCCTTACTCACCCCTCTATGGCTTGCAGCATTCAAAGCCGTCCTCTTTCCCGTCAACCCTCGCGTCTTCCCTTAATTTTGATCCAATCTGAGCGGACATCCATGCAATATATCCTGATTGCATCGCGCACAGTGCCACTATCGTTCCCATGCAGGAGTGATTGGCCCGATAGTGGGTGTCATCGCAGTCGTAAATAGCCGCACCCTCACGACATCACGGGGCCGGAGCCAGGCCTCGAGCGTTCGAGGCGACCACGGGCCTGACGTCACCGTCTGTCCGGCAGCGGGAGAAGCAGCAGCTGCAGGAGCTGGTGGAGACGCTGCGGGTGCGCCAGCAGAAGACCAGAGACACCCGCCTGCAGGAGGTGGAGCAGGAGAACAGCGTGCTCACCGTCAAAAACCAGGTCCGCAACGCGGCCGGAATGCAATCCCCTTCTTACTCATGTCCATCTCAAGAATGCTGCTTTCATTCCGACACGAGGAAACGCTTTAGCTTAGCAAAGGCGCGGCCAGTCGGCATAAGAATGAAAACCGTGCATGCCACGCTATGCATATATTTTCTGTGAACCCCATGCTTACGTGTTAGCTCGAACACGTTTGCAGGTGGCTTACAGCATTTAAAACGGCGACGGTGCTAATCTGTTCCGATCTCGACTTCTACCACCCCTGCCACACCATCGGCTCGCCCTTTTCTTCCGACTTCGTCGCGGGTGTTATTTTGGATGCGGACGCGCTGGCTCGGACCAAGCCCTCTCGTTCGAGAAGCCGTCCGCCGCCGCTTGGCCATCAGGACGTGGGAGATTAATGACGCCATGCATATTCAGCGGCCGGGGGGCTTTTCGGTCGATTAGTGTCGACGAGAGCCACTTCAGAGGCTGAACACCGCTAAAAGCGACATTTGTAACCATTGGTCGCTTGTCAAACCACATTGTCGGGGCCCTACCAAGTAAGTGATGCTGCGATTGGGAGAATGCCTCTTGTAAACGTGAATGTTGCTGAACTTTTACGCCTGGGGCGATCGTTGGAAACGGCGGAAAATGTGTTTTTGACTGATATGCTGCCTCTAGTATGGAACGACTTTGGACCTGGAAACATCCCGATCTTGTGCATGCATTAATGTTCGACAAGGTTGCTTTGAAACCCGGCTAATACAACGTATTCCCATCGCACGTTTGCCCGCAAATGCTTAAAAAACGAAGGGTTTCTTTCCCAGAGCCACTTTTGATTTTTTCTTTTGATTTTTGATTTTTCTTTATTTTTATTTTTCCCTTCCGTCTTTCAGCATGCATGTTCTCACATAACCTTGATTTGCAGGTTTGATAGCTAGTTGTATTTTGCCCGTCGCGCCGCTGTTTCAAACTCAGCGAGTAGTTGTCGAGGCGGCGGCGTCAGGAGCTTATCTGTCGACATCAGTGACGTCATGCTGACGTCACCTGTGGCCGTTTCAGGAGCTGAGCGGGCAGTTGTCGCGGCTGCGCCAGGAGCGTCAGCAGCTGGAGCGGCTGACGGAGCGGCTGCGCGATAGCTCGCTCCGTCTGGAGGAGGCCGAGCAGCAGAAGGCCGATGCGGAGCGTGACAACCGGCACCTGCAGACGGTCAGAACTGGACTGAGGCGCGGCTGAAGGGACGGGGACGTGCGCTCAGGGGCAGGACGCCACCGGAGAGGACTCGGTATGGCGGCACGAGACAGGACCACTGAAATAGGACAGGGACGGGCTTCAGAGGATAGGAGACATCTGGCGATACCGGAGAAGGAATTGCGTGACCACGTAGTGTCAGTTTTACTGGATATGAAACACGGCCCTTGGCCCGTTTCCGAACGGGCTGACCTCTGCCACGGACCCCCCCCCCCCCCCCCCGTCTCTGGTATAGGCCTGCTCATGGTGAATTGTCCCACGTTGACGAATCGGCCAGTGCTCGCGTCACGTGACGCCCGCCCCGCCCGCAGGCGATCACGTCGCTGAGGCAGACCTGCGAGCGTCACGAGCGGCTGGAGCAGGAGCACTCCAGCCTGGAGGCCGAGTACCAGCGGCTCACCAAGCTCGTGGACAACATGAAACAGCAGGTGGGCGCGGGCGGCAGACGCCGCGACCAGCGGCGCCCCTCTGATGCGGGCGGATGGGGGATTAGCATACGGGATGAGCAGATAAGATTACGTGTTCCAGTAATATGCTTTGAAGATTACTGGTAATCTGTGTGCAGTGGGGTGTGGTACGGATATGAATATTGCATTTCATGTCTCATCAAAGTGTTCATATGGTGTAGGTGACCTGACCTTACTACCTATAGCGATGGTATTTTCCACTTTTCATTGGTAAACCTTTTCCAAATGGCTGCATGGTCACTGGTCGGATGGTAAATGGTCAATTTGCAATGGAGTTCCAACGTGTGAGCTATATTTGTTCCGCGGTGTGTTTGGATGCCCTGGACGCGGCTAGTAGAAACACCTCGCCAGAGGTGTAATTTCCCTTTCAATTGGGGGGGGGGGGGGGGGGGGCGGTTCAGCACCCTTCCCCTCAGCTTGGGCTTCCCCAATTTTGGGAAGGAAGTGCACCAAATCTGGGAAGAAACCTGTTTGTTACGTATTTTGGGCATAGGTTGGGTCATTTTTCCCCGTTCATTCTCCCTCCCCCCCGCCGTGATTTTGTGAAACTACACCTTGTGCCTCACGCATCCAGCACACTCCACTCCTTCCATTCAGGGCCGAGGCACCAGCCTCGTCCCCGGCCGCTGGGCACACCTTCCCCGCCGCCCCGCCCTGGGGCTCGTCGCCTGACCCCAGCCGCTCGGCGAGGCGCGACTTAGGTCACGGACCGCCGGCCGCGCCACGAGCCGGTGGCAAAAACTGCGCATGATTGCCGCGCGAGCCATTTTTGTCGGCGCCGCCATGCGTGCGCGGCCGCCGAGTAAAAACGCAGCCAGTCGGCGTGGACGAAGGCCGTGCCTCTATTAGCGGGGATAATGGGTGGGGCGAGCTCCAGAGGATTTGGCCCGCTGACTGGCGTCGGTGGATTGCCGGCCGGGCCGCGCGTGCTCCGTGGGTTATGCTCTCGTGCAGATCATTTACGTACGCTAAAAAGTCGTGTGGTATGGAGGAGATTTAAATTTCCCTGGCGTTTTTGTGGACGGGTTTTCGATTGTGCAGGCCGCGTTTTCGTCCGGGTTTATCTGAGGTGAGCGTTTGACCTCTCCTTGTATGGTTACATTCGTGTACTCCCAGTGCGCTGCACGGTAGAAACGTGCACAGATCATTGTCACTCCCTCGGCATGCATTTATAACGAGGGACAAAATACGACAATCATGTATTTGTGCGAGCGTGCGTAATTTGCAGGCTCATCTTGTTCTGCCGTCAGCCTGCGTCGACCTCTCAGGACTCCGCTCAAATAAGGACCCAAATGTGATGTGGATTGCCGGATCCGCGACTAATCCGTCGGATCCCCCGAATCCGCGCGAAAGAAACGTTTCCAAAATGAGGTTGACCCAATGTTTGGACTGTTCCAAGGCACCGTTTACAAGCTGGTCGCTCGTCAGCGGACACATGAAGTGACCTCTGACTTTGCGCCCTCCCCCGCAGCTGGACGGCGCGAAGCAGGACAACGCCGCGCTCCAGGTGGAGAAGCGCCACCTGACGGAGCAGGGGCACTCTAGCGCCTCCCGGCTGGAGGAGCTCCAGCAGGAGAAGGAGCAGCTGCTCAAGAGCAGCAGTTCGCTCCAGCAGGAGCTGCAGACGCTCCGGGATGTCCACATCAAGTGCGATGTCCAGGTATGGAGACAGCGCCAGGGCTGAGGACGACTTTTCTGTGCCCTTTGTTTGGTAATGGGCGTTTCACGCGTCTCGTTTAAGTAGAAAGCTATTGCCGTCATTTATTTCCAGACAAATATGTAAACAGATTTTCTTCTAAGGTGGTCGGGCTAAGAAAATGGTAGGAGTATGCTCTCAAGTGCCGTCAGACCAACTTTTGGCAACATTGCGTAAGCCCAGAATCTCAGTCCGAAACAGCACCATTGCCGGGTATTATAGACATCAGCAGCACTCAGAAAGACAGGTGGGGGATCAGCGCCAGAGGCAAATCTCCGCGGGCGACCTCGGTCTGACCACCATCCGCCGGCCGGCAGCTCTCCACGCTGCAGACGGAGAAGCACAAGCTGGAGAAGACGTCGCAGGCGGTGCAGCGGCGCGCCCAGGACATGGAGCGCGAGAACCGCGAGCTTGACGCCGAAAACCAGAAACTGCTCAAGACGGTGGAGACCCTCAAGGTGCGCGCAGGACGTGGACAGTGTGGTTTCGGTGATGGCGAGGGTCCGATTTTCTTACCCGTGTCGTGAGAAACTCGTACAGCATGATTTGTGTCGGTACAGTATGCTCCGTGATGTCGAGTCATGGTGTTGGTCGATCGGTTCAACCATTGATATTATTTGCTGAGGCAGATCGTCGGTCGGTTTTATGATCGAAGCTCTCTAGTGTGCTTGAGAGTGAGACCTGACCACGCCATCAACGAAGTGTTTGTCCTCCCTCTGTCTTTGTTAGCAGTGAGTCCCTGTTGGCCTCAGCACCTTCGCCCCTGTTACCCCGCTTGACCCCTCGCTCTAGATGTCGACGCGGCGCCTGAACGAGCTGGAGCGTGAGAACACCGAGTTGGAGGCCTCCAACGACATGCTCAGCCGGGAGAAGAGCTCGCTGGCCAAGGAGGCGGCGCGCCTCCGCCAGGCGGTGGAGGTGAAGGACGCCAGTGTGGACGAGCTCTCGTCACGCGCCGCGACCCTCGAGCGCGAGGGGCGCCGGCTGACCAAGGAGCTGGAGGAACGCGATGGGCAGGCTGCCATGCTCAAGCAGCTCGAGACGGAGAAGGTGCGTGAGTGGACCGGTGGGAGAGCCAGCGTGGGGGAGGGATCATGGCTGGGTGCGTGGGTTTGAGGCGCGCCTGCACGAGAATCTCATGATCGGTCCGCGAACAATTCGTGATCGATCTGTCGCGTTGGAAAGTTGTCAAGTTCATGGACAATGGCACATTCCTGAGATACAATTTTATTCCGTTCTACTGGCCAGAACGACCTTCCAACAGTCTCTATAATGATCGTGCTTATTCTCCTGACTCATTGGACGGGAGGCCGCACGTGGCATGTACTGTGCCATCCACTAAGTCATCCACTAAAATCAGATAGATACTAAGTCGCGCGTTTCATCCGCGCATCCGCAGCTATGCGCCCAGAAGCTTTCAGCGCGCCCCAGATCACCGCTCTGTGACCTATTCCCTGCATGTGTCGTCCCTGTGTTAACCCCCCCCCCCCCCTCCTCCCCCTTCGGTGCGCAGACCAGCCTGGTGCAGGAGACCCGTATGGACAAGAAGACGCTGTGCGCGCTGCGCGAGGAAGCTGGTGCAGGAGAAAATCCGCACGCAGCAGCTGAACGCCGAGCTGGAGCAGCTGAACGGCGAGCTGCAGCGGGTCGGCATCGACAAGGAGCGGCTGGTCGCCTCCGACTATACGGTCGGCGAGAGGTGCGAGGGAGGGGAGGTGGAGATGGCCTGGATGGCGTAGGAGACGGGGGACTGTTAGGGTGCAGACGCTTACGTCATCGTACCCTATTCTCTTCCTGTGGTAGCTGGTCGTCAAGTCTATAAAAAGTAAGGCTACGATTAACGAAAATACTTGCACCTTGGGGAATATGCAAATTTGTAGGCTATGGTAGATAGGGTACGCATGAGTGAAGTGGAGATGTAAGCCCATGAACTTTGCAAGCATGTATTTTTCATGACTTCTAAACATGTTCTTATGTCAATGGTTTGATAAGGCATACTACGGCAAGAAATGGTCTGTCAGCTTGTTGGGTGAGACATCACGTATCCATGTTCAGAACCATAAGGCTGAATTTTTACGTTTCAGTCGCTTCAAAGCCTTGGAACAGATGATGGAGGAGGCTTTGAAAAAGGGGATGGAGGTAAAAGACCAAAAAATTGCCTCATTGGAGGCCAAGCTGAAGGAGGCGCAAGAAAGACAACAGGTATGTGTGGTCATTGGTGACCGCGAATTCTTCTTCGACATTGTGTGGAATATATTGTATCACACACTACGTCAGCACCTGTTCAGCCGCGCCATTAATAATTTCCTGTAATTAGGATGACCAGAATGGGCGCAAAGTGCATGCTTTGGTAACTGCAGCTTTCACGCTTACTCTGAACAAGACGTTTTTCCAACCCGTGTGCCTCTACCACACTGTAGTTCTGTGTGCGGCCGACAGATGGTGTGCGCCGAGCTGTCGTCGGTGCGTCAGGAGTACCAGCAGCTACAGCAGGAGACGGGTCAGGTCACCAGCGACAGCTCCAAACAGCTGAGCGGGGTCAAGGCCAGGCTGGCCGAGATGGAGCGCAGGGTAAGTAGACCGGTCAGGGGGCTGGTAGGCCAGGGGGCTGTTGGAATGTTTTCCACTAATGTGCTGAATTTGAATTTTTATGATAAGCTTCAAACGTGTTGCCTGGATGGCAGCATCTCCAGATAATTTTAGTTTGTTGCTTAAATGCTCAGGTACTATATATATATATATATATATATATATATATATATATATATATATATATATATATATATATATGTGTGTGTGTGTGTGTGTGTGTGTGTGTGTGTGTGTGTGTGTGTGTGTGTGTGTGCGTGCGTGCGTGCGTGCGTGCGTGCGTGCGTGCGTGCGTGCGTGCGTGCGTGCGTGCGTGCGTGCGTGCGTGCGTGCGTGCGTGCGTGTGTGTGTGTGTGTGTGTGTGTGTGCGTGTGTGCGTGTGTGTGTGTGTGTGTGTGTGTGTGTGTGTGTGCGCGCGCGCCATAGAACAATCGGGTATGTTTTCCAAGCACGTGATGCGAGCTCCATGCGCCATTTACATTCTCTGATCACAAAGACTCAGCCACGTAATTCTGTGTTTCACCTTTCCGAGTCAAACCACACTTGCCACTTCATAAAATGCCGCCATATGAGCCGACTGCACATTTGGCCTTCTTGACATAAGAGCGACTGTGAACCCAGCACGGCAGCGGATCGGCATCGGTAACGCAGCGAGGCCCAAACTCCGCCTCTTCCGCAGAACAACAACCTGATCAACGAGCGGGAGAACCTGGCGTGCGAGAAGGAGAGCCTGACGGAGCAGGTGACGTCGCTGCAGGCCGCGGTGGCCAACTTCCAGTCGCAGATGTCGGCGCTGACGCAGCACAACGTGAACGTGCAGTCGGAGCTGGCCAAGGTGCAGGTGGAGCACACCACGGTGCAGAGCCAGGCGGCCGCGCTCACCGCCCAGATCTGCACGCTACGCACGCAGGCCTCGGCCGGCCAGGCCGAGAAGGAGCAGGTCAGAGGCGCGCCGAGCCCCGCCGGGCACGGTCGGGAGGACCAGCTGGCGGGTGGCGGGGATAGTCGAACCCCGCGGCTCGTTATAATAGCCAACCTTGCGCTTCAGTATTGTGCGTCCTCTTCGTGCAGTTGCAAAAGGACTGACATATTCTAGCATTTGGGTGTCTTAGTCCGCTATGTTGGAGGCTGAAATATTTTAAGTGCGGTAATCACTACCTAATTTCGACCCCCATAATGCACCGGATTTTAAGACGCCGTGTTTTCAAGTACGTCGAAATGCTGTATATCGTGTTATGCAGCGTTGCGAGTGACGCTTGGAGGCCAGTCGTGCGATCTGCAATGGCTTTATGGAGTGGCTGCGTGGGTGCGACACCAATGACTTCATTGGGTGGCTTTGTGGCTGCGACACCAATGGCTTCATTGGATGGCTGCGTGGGTGACACCTGAGTCTCCTGACATCACCCAGTCGGCTCCGCGGCCTGTGACGTCACGTCCGTTTCTTTCCGCTGACCTATGACGTCACGGCCGCCAGGTGAGCCGGCACCAGGAGGAGCTGCGCTCCTCGCAGGAGCAGCTGCTGGCCGACCACGAGACGCTGCAGCGGCTGCATGAGCAGCTGACGGCCGAGTACGAGCAGCTGAAGCGTGAACAGGCCGCGCTCAAGGGCGCCAACAAGACAGTCAAGCACGAGTACCGCACGCTACAGGTGCGGGGCGCGGCGGCCGGGCGGGATGTCAGGCGGGGTTGGTTTGGGGATGAGAAAGAGCAACGGTGTCAGGCTTGAGTAGGCTCCTGTGGTCGTGCCTTAAAGGCATGAGTGCGTCCCGTATGAGAGGCTCAATATGGGAAGAACTCCGGGGGCCTGAACGACGCAAAGGCATCACCGTTTGATAGTGTAAAATATTTATGTAGGGAGAGACTGCTAGGCCCTTTATGTATGAATCGTATCGATGCGCCCGTAGACGCACCTACGTAGATGCACGTGCCGATGCACCACCTAAATCCCCGAAGCACCCGTAACACCTCTCGAATTAAGTAGTTATTCGAGCGCCTCTTGTCAAATACGTCACTCAACGTCGACCCTTGCCCTCCCCGACCGATCGACTGATGCCCCCCCCCCCCCCCCCACCCCTATCCACAGGAGCGGTACGACGCGGTCACATCGGGTCAGGACGACCTGGTCAAAATCAAGGAGACGCTGGAGGAGGAGCGCGAGAGCCTGCGCACCGACACACGCTCCCTGCAGAACCTCCGCGAGGAGCACTCCCGCCTGAAGGTGGGGCTGCAGTGGCGCCGTCTGGCGGGGCTGGCTGTGGAGGGCTGGTAGGCGATATGCTATGCTATGGTGTTACAGCCTGAGAAGGTTCCCGACATCCGGCTTCGATGTTATAACCGGCGCGGGATTCGCTGTGACCCTGCTTGACATCAAGTGTCATGCAACCGTAAAGTGCACACTGAATCAACATCTTGTTGTGATCGGCCCATTACTGTCACATCCTAGCAAAGCATTGTCGCATTGTGCGGAGATTATTCTGGTTTTCAAGGCAGACTAGCACATCTGGGCCTCACACAAAGAACGCAAAAACAATCCATTTGACAGCGGTCTGGAGTTCAGCTCGGGCCTTTTTTATAGTTTTAGTATGCCGGTGTTCGGTCCGTTTTGCATATTTGATCACTCTCTCCAGGTGACGAAGGAATGAAAGGCCACTTTGCCACGTCTCCACTCGCATTTCAGGACGACTTCCGTAACCTGTTCACGGCCAACGAGAAGCTGAAGACCGAGTACAAGTCGCTGCAGTCCGACTACAGGTCGCTGAAGACGGAGAACAACACGCTGAAGCTGAAGCAGACCGAGGTCCGCGGCCAGATGTGCGACAACCGCGACCACATCAACGGCCTGGAGGTGGAGATCTCCAAGCTGTCCAACCGATGCGAGGTGGGTCATGACCTGAGTGCCCGCGGGCACGGTACGAAGGGTGCGGAGGGGTCACTCGGAATGGCCACACAAATGGCGCTACGCCGGGACGATAGAATAAGAGGAATATGTTGAAAGCAATAGAAATGCCCGCCAGTGCTATTGAAAGGCTTAGAAGATGTCTAGAGAAATCCACGGGTGCCACGCGTCCAGTAGAAATACTGAGGGGTGTTAAGATTCCTCCCCGGATGGCGGATGCTTCTCCTTGTAAGGCGTTTTAGAACGAGGCCGTGGCTCGACCTCAGTATTGTAAAGTGTTATAAGACAGTAGTAATAGCCGCATTCCTCAGAGAAAACCCAGGGGAATGAAGATATGGATGGTTTGATATTTCGGCAACGTGCCTCAATTCGCTTCTACTATTGTTTCGATAAAGGCATTTTCCGAAATATCTACCCATCCTTACTTCCATTCTCCTGTTGTTTTTCCGAGGAATGATGCTATTACTGCTGTCTTACATATGTGAATAATGTTCCTCGCAAATGCACTGAACAGCTTGCGTAATTGTTAAGTTTCACCCGAAAAGCATCGTGGGAGAAAGCACGCTGTCAGTGGCCGTTCCCAGCGAAGCCGCCTGGTCGCAATGGCGTGGAGATTGTCGAGGCGTGGCTGCTTGACGGCATGCTGACGGCACCCCGGTCGTCCCGCCTCGGCTGTTGACGGCACCCGGCCGTCCCGCCTCGGCTGCTGACGGCACCCCGGCCGCCCCGTCCCGGCTGCTGACGGCACCCCGGCCGTCCCGCCTCGGCTGCTGACGGCACCCCGGCCGTCCCGCCTCGGCTGCTGACGGCGCTCCACCGCCCCGTCCCGGCCGCTGACGGCACCCCGGTCGCCTCCTCCTTCAGGTGCTGACGCAGCTGAACACGGCGTTGGAGGAGGACCGGCGTTCGCTGATGGGCCAAGGTGACGGTGCTGCTCACCCAGTACCACGACCTGCTGTCGGCCACGCTGGAGGAGAAGGACCACTTCCACGAGGAAGAGCGACACCTGGCCGACAAGCTCAACAACCTGCGCCGCCAGAAGGAGAAGCTCGAGGAGAAGATCATGGAGCAGTACCGGCGCATGGATAACTACACGCCCAAAAAGTGAGCTCCGCAGGAGTGGGGGCAGCGGAGGCACCAGTTATCGGTTGCTGAGAAACACTTGGACCGTGGGTGTTGTTTGTAACGATAACCTTGGCAACCGATGCGACGCATCAGACAAGTCATGGCCGCGCATACTGTGTCTACTGTGTGTCATTACACGGAAAGAAGTAGTGCTGCTTGTGGGAGCGCGTTCATCGAAATTTAACTGCGTTTTTTAAGCAGTGGTCATATTACCTACCAGATGCTGGAGACTGACTTTGCGAGCGCTCGGTATGTCGAACTGGTGTGCTGTTCCCGGGCCCGTGCTAATAGCAATCAACGTCCTTAGCGAACAGGAGACCATTTCGCCCCAATCGTCGTGAGTTGGTCGGAAGGCTTTTTACCATTGCTGTTCTCCATCGTGTTTGCATGTGCCGCCGTGGCATGCTACGCGTCCGTGTGCATCACAGGCGAGCTTTTGGTGGCTCAATAGAAGACTCGTTCCGAAGCACACAAAATGTTGAGGAAAATTGTTAAGCATGAATTTGTTTTGTGATCACTGTCAACCAAAGCTCATTCGCGTTTAGCATAGGTCGCATTGCCCGTCATGAATGTGCCAGGCAGGATGAATGCAGTTCTTCAGTCGTCTGTTTGCCTGCTCGTGGTGCGTATGTGCGTCTGCCATGAAGAGCCAAGTTTTAGGTGTTCTTGGTGCAGAATGCTCGTTGTTGTTTTCTTTTGTGAGGCCATTTTTCCCGTGGTATGTGATGGGTCCCGAAGTTTGTGCAGGAAACAGCATACACCAAAACTACGTAAGATCGCGAACACAGCTCCAGGGACACAAATCATTAGCATATCCTTAACTATTCAAACACGCGATCGACAACGACTCAGCTCACACCACGTCTGACGAGAACTCGCCACTCGAACCATACCCGTTCTCCCTGAAGCCCCGGACTCTTTCTCACAAAAACGTCCTAACACGTCTCTTCGCGCGACATCGCTGACCGACGTCGCCCTCTCCGCCGGCGCTGCGTCCGCTGTCCCTCTGACGTCGGCTCGCGGCCGCAGGCGGGGGTTCGGCGCCAACCTGGTGCGCCGCGTCAAGCGCGCCGGCACGGACCTGATCAGCCGCGTGCCGCGCTCGGCCCGCTCGCGCTCGCGCACGCGGCTCGATGACGTCACCGACAGCCCGGACTCGGCCAGCCTCGGTAGCGGCTCGGCCGGCAACGACAGCATCGACAGTGGACCGGACTCGATCCGCAAATCGCCGCAGCAGGGTGCGTGTCGGCGGGCTCGGTCGGCGCGGCGGCGCCGGTGGCTGCGAGGGGGCGGGACGTTGACCCAGATGGTTGGAAAAGCGGGGACGGCCGACGGTGTGGGTGCTGTCAGTAACGTTTTTGGAGCTGACGTACCCGCCGTGTAAATCAGTCAGGCACGCAAGCCGTTAGGAGGTATGAATGTCGATATTGTCAAATACGCCTCGTCTGTCCTTTTTGCGCATGGTCGCTAGCTTCCCTCCGTCAGAATCATCAGCATTATCAGCCGCAAACGGTGCCTTGACTACCCATAAGCACTAACCGGCGACGGCGGGATCATGTGTTTCTCGCGTTCGCTGTAGGCTGACGCTCCGTGTCATTCGCCGTCGCCTGACGCTCTATGCCGCTGCCACAGAGGACGAAGCGGGCGTGGACGAGCCGACGCCGGTGGAGCGGCCGGCGTCGCGCCGCTCGCTCGGCGGCCGGCCCCTCTCGCTGGTGGAGGACCGGCGACGCTACCGCTCCTCCGTCTCCATCGACGAGTCAGCGCTGCTGCGGGCCACCGAGCCGGCAGAGCGGAGGGCTAACGGTCAGTGGGACGGACTGGAGAGGGGTGGGGTCATTGGGACGGACTGAAGAGAGGGGCGACGGTCGGTGGGGCGGGCTGGAGAGAGGGGTGACGGTGAGTAGAGAGTGACGGTCAGTGGGGCGGACTGGAGAGGGGTAACGGTCAATGCGGAGGGCCTGAGAGGGGTAATGGTTGGTGAGGCGGACTGCAGAGAGGGTTGACGGTCAGTGGGGAGGACTGCAGAGTGGTAATGGTTAATGGGCAGGGCTCGAGAGGGCTAATGGTTAGTGAGGCGGACTGCAGAGAAGGGTGACGTTCAGTGGGGAGGACTCTAGAGACGGTTGACGGTCAGTGGGGCGGACTGGAGAGCGGTGATGGATAATGGGCAGGGACTTGAGAGGGGTAATATTTAGTGAGGCAGACTGCAGAGAGGGTTGACGGTCAATGGGGCGGACTGGAGAGGGGCGACAGTCAGTGGGGCGGACTGAAAAGAGTGGCGACGGTCGGTGGGGCGGCTGGAGAGGGGTGACGGTGAGCAGAGGGTGATGGTCAGTGGGCGGACTGGAGAGAGGGGCGACGGTCGGTGGGGCGGCTGGAGACGGGTGACGGTGAGCAGAGGGTGATGGTCAGTGGGCGGACTGGAGAGAGGGGCGACGGTCGGTGGGGCGGGCTGGAGAGAGGGGTGACGGTGAGCAGAGGGTGACGGTCAGTGGGCGGACTGAAGAGAGGGGCGGCGGTCGGTGGGGCGGCTGGAGACGGGTGACGGTGAGTAGAGGGTGATGGTCAGTGGGCGGACTGGAGAGGGTAACGATTAGTGAGGCGAACCGATGAGCGGTGATGGTCAGTGGGACCGACTGGAGAAGGGTGGTGGTCAGCGTAAGGGTCTAGTGTGTATATTTGTGGTCAAAAGGGGTAAAGGGGGCTCAGTGGTCAGGAGAATTGGCCAGAGGCATGATGTTCAGCACAGATGGCTGTAGAAACACCACGTGTCGGTGGCGCTAGCCACAGAAACATAAAGTACGAAGTAAAAGTTTGCGTGCATATATTTCCATAACAAGTCTGCACAGCACGTGTTGTCATGTTTGACCCCATTGTACCATGCGCACTTTCAAGGTCATGTTTAAACGACTGTCCAGTGCGGCATCATGCCGGAATCCCGTCTCTACCGCACGCGTCTCCGGCGACAGGCTAATGAGCAGCGCACTTGCACTGTCGTCCACCACCCAGCACGTGCCCGGGCGGCGGCAGGTGCCAGACCTCTGAGGCGCCGCCAGCGCCGCCTGCCGTCACCTGGACCGCCACTGTCTCTGCCGCGCCACTTACGGTCCTTCTCCGTCGGCAGGCAAGCTGAGTCACCGGCTGAGCCTGGGCCCGATGGGGCGCACGCGACGGGCCATGTACTACAACGACGAGGACGACTCCATTCCGACCAGAGACGTCGGACCCGGACAGCCCAGTACGTCCCCCCCCCCCCCCCCCCAACTGGGAGAACTTCGGGAGGCTATGTCGTAGCGGGAGGGTTTTTAACAATCGGCCGCTGACAAGACTGATGTGATTGAGCAGAGAACGCCTACTTAAAGAAATGTTGAAACGGTTCGGGCTGTCGAAGAAATATGTCTCCTCGCAGGCCAGTGGCGTTATCTGCGTGCGTTGATATCCTAATGATGATGGCCCCGAATATCCTGAGACGACGAGGCATGATAACATCCGTCCGTTTTGGTGCGTGGCGTGAGTGACACGAATAGGGCAATGGTGTTAAATCCCCAATCATGCTTTTAAAAGGTCTCTGGTGCGACCCTTGAAACAAAAGGCGACGTTGCACATTGCGAGATGGCAGACAGCGCTGCAGAAACAGTGCTAGTGGGAGCATGCGAGGTCTCACGCTGACTCAAGTCGTCAAGGGGATTTCGTGCTCTGCTTCGAGCCACTGCATCGCCATGATGTGTCTGGATGTGGCCCACAAACCCGCTTCTTGATTAAGTTTGTAGAGACTTACGCAGGGGCGTAGTTTCACAAAATGAGTTTGGGGAGGGGGGTAGTGTGCTTTGAAAAATACTGGAAAAACCTGACTTAGCTCCAAAATATGCCAAGAAACAGATTTCTCCCCAGATTTGGCTACCTTCTTCCCAAAGTGGTGGGTTGGAGCCCGGGGGGGGGGGGGGGGGGGAGGCTGAAGGCCCTTCCCCCAGCTGAATGCGAAACTACACCCCTGAACTTGAAACATGTTGTGTCGATTCTTTTATGTTTCTTTTGTTTTGCCAGGAGTTTTATGTTCACCTTGCAGGACACGCGAAGTTTTGACTTCATGATTCTGAGGGGAGGGGGATGCTATTAACACTATCATTATGATCGTGTGAGAGTTCATAGCGTTATGACAGATGGCGGACAAAAGTAAGTGTTTGAGTGTGCGGTACTTGTGGAAGTTCAAAAACTGCTTTTCAGATTAATCTTTCTCTGCTCGTTTTAGCACAAAGATGACTTAAACATTGTGTTGGTGCGCCTGGCTTCTTTAGTAAAAAAATCAAAAGAACTGAGCTTTTGCATAAGTTTTTCCCCAGATTTGTGTGTTTATAACTGACCGGCGAACGTCATAAGCCTCCCCTCCCTTCGCCCACAAACACACATGATCTTCAGTTCAGGCGGACGTCAACCCCCGTGATCTGATAAACCAGTTGATCCAGGCTCCCTGCCCTTCTCCGTCGAACGTCATGCGCGTAGTCAGCCTGTTCGTGACGTCACCGAGATCAGGTGCTGGGGAATCCCAGCGACGTATTCGGCGACGTTTTATCGCCGTTCGCCTTGCTAACGCAACGGGTCGCCCAGTTAGGCATTATATCTGGATCGGGGGAAGCTGAAGCGCAGGCAGGCTGCTTTCCGGTAATGCGGCTGGCAGATTTATCGCATAATCTTATAACTAAATAAATACAAAGCTGTTCGTTATCGCACGTCAAGCCTTGCCAAACGATGACAGTATCTACCGCCTGCGTGTTATCAGTGTGTCTACGCGATTAGTCGTATGAGCCAAAACCGTACTTCTTAATCTGCTCCCGCTGACGGCACATTAGGCTTTGGTGGTGACTAGCCCCGACCTGACGACGTGACCTGTCCAGAGACCGTATATCGCTCGCTTTGTTGGTCGGCCGCTGGCCTGGCTTCGTGACCGTGCTAGGGACCGCACACCACTCCACGGCGCTGACCGGCCCTTGACCTGTCCTCATGACGTGCGCACGGATGAGGACAGGACAGGACAAGGACAGGAGGACAGGTCACGGATCCGTTGCTGCGCATGCTCATCACTCTAGGGCGCTGATCTTTGCCGGCCTAACCTGTCCACAGACGACGTTTCATTCTGTGGCGATGTTGCGCTCCCGTGGTGTCCTTACATGCCCGCGGACGGCATGTCGCCCTGGGGTGCTGGGTGAACCAGACCTGACCTTACGACCGTTCAGAGACAGTGTATCCTGTGATGCGGGCCGTCAGCCGCCCTGACCTGGTGACGCCCCTCGCCCACAGACGGTCTGACCGGGTGTCGCTCGGAGGTGCTGATTCGACCCTCCGTCGGCTCCGTCTCCAGCATCCACTCGGCCGACATTGTGTCCCTGAAGACGACGCCGACAGCGGCCAACGGCGGCGGCTTCCAGGTAGGGGCCCTGGGGTTGCAGACGAACCGACTGGGGGGACGCCCGATCCGTGCTGTCGGCGTGGGATCCCGCGGGAGGGGGAGGGGGAGGGGCAAAGCGACAAGCCGAAGGCACATCGGACGTACGACGACCACCTGGGACAAATGAGAGGGGGTAGGGGTTGGCCATGCCAAACGGACCGAAATGAGCCGGATCAACGGATACATTCCTTATCCAGAACAGCTGAAGTTATCAACTCAAGTGGCTGCATGTTGCGGTTATGTGAGTGTTATATGAGTAACAGACATGTAAGGCACTTCTGCCGAATAACCATTTACGCTATAAACGGCTCAGGCTATACAGAAGACGTTCGCCCGCTTAAAATCCCAACAGTTTAAGATATATCGCCGATATAACACAATCATAAGAGTGCGCTAAACGCGGTATCCACTGGACTGGCCATTGGTACCTGCTTCACACGGCAATCAATTATCTAGAACAGCCGCGTCATCCACCTGCCGGACCACTTGCGAAATACCAATTAGTGGGGACAGCACGCTCTGCGCCGGCGCGCCGCTGCGAGCCGGGACGCGACGCCCGGCGGCGTCACCGGCGGGCCCCTGACCCGGCGTGCCGCTCACTGACCGCCCGCTGACCCAGCGCCCCGCCCCGTTGATCCAGCGCGCCGCCCGCTGACCGATCGTTGACCCAGTGGGCCACTCGCTGGTCCAGCACGCTCCCCGCTGACTGCCCGCTGACCCAGCGCCCCGCCCGCCCGTGCAGAGTCTGATCAACATCAGCGGCGAAGGCCCGGCCACCTCCCCGGACCACACGACCACCATCTCGATCGAGGCGGACGAGTCGAGCACCATCACCATCAACGGCCAGTCGCCGGCGCCGCCGCCCAAGGTGCCGCCGCGCAGCGCCACCGGTACTCCGGACGCCAGGTCAGTGGGGCCTCGCTCCCAGCGGCGGGTGGCTTCGGCGCGCGCGCGCGGGCCTCTCTCCCGGCCACCGCCCCGATGGTCAGCAGAGACGGCGCGGAACGGTGTTCGTCGAGCGCGCATGGTTTTGCTGCGGTTTCGCGGTTGTTTGGGCGTGTAGCCAGTCGGTGGCGGCTACGGAGGGATGCGTTGGTAGGTGGGCACTGAGAGAGCTCTTTTTGGACAGTTGGGATGGTGCTCGGCGGAATTTGGAAGCCGTGCGACGTTTCCAATGATTGCGCTAACCCCGCCCCGGGCACGTTTTACCACCTTTATTTTCAACATAAAGGTGGGCGACGTCCAATCATAGGCGTCGAATCTCTTTCGAACTCAGCCGAACACAATCCCAGCTGTGCAAAAAAGAGCTCTTTTGGTATATATATATATATATATATATATATATATATATATATATATATACACGACCACCTTCGTTACATCACAGACAAGTTCACAAGTTCGTTTTACTTCTAGACAAGACAGCACAAGTTCGTTTTACTTCAATGATTTCACTCTGTTTGAGGTTAAGAGAGCGCGGCTATGATTAAATGCCATTTTGCCAGCATGTAGCTGTTTTGCTTCACCGCGAACGCCTGTTAAATGTGGATACAACTTGCAACGCGTGCCATTCTCTTGTGCGTGATCGCAGATAATCCATGAGTCGTGTTTCTGAGATACTATCTGGCGCTGCGTTATGCGGATCCTGACAGCTGCTGTGATTTCTATGCATCAGTCCTTCAGTTGTCCAGCCCTGACGCCGCTCCCCCTCACCCACAGCCGGACGCCGCCGCTGCCGGCCAAGTCGCTGTCGCTGCGCCGGCCGCTGCTGACCGAGCCGGACTCCCTCAGCTCTAGTCACAGCGGCTCGCCGACGCCCAGTCAGCCGGCTTCCCTGCCCTACTCGGCCAGCCCGGTGCCGCCGGCGGCCGGCGCGCGCAGCATGCCGGCCACGCCGCTGCAGCGGCGCCGGCCGTCCGTGCCGCCGCGCCAGGCGCCGCCGCCTCCGGCCGCCGACGCCGCCTCGCAGAAGGAGCGCGCCGCCGCCAATGCGCTCTGGTACGAGTACGGCTGCGTGTAGCGGCCGTCGCACGGCGCCCAGCGGCGGACGGGGACTGCGATGCAGTGTGAGCGCGCGCGCGTGTCCGCGCCGCGGTGTGTGGGCCGGCGGGCCGCGCTTGTCAGTGGTGTCACGGTTGAGTTTGTCTGCAGCTAGAGAGGCATTTCTCCATTTTATGTAGATACTGCATTATATAAACGCACATTGATATGCATAAGACAATCGTAAGTGGAGGCGCTTGAAGTTATTTATGTTCGTGTAGAGTTGGAAAATTTGTTTTATCTTCTGATCTCGACGTGTAAGGTTCTGTCTAGCTGGTCCCGCGCCGGGCGGGTGCTTCGGTGGCGGCGCCGGCCCGGTGTGGCGTCTGTTCGTGCCGATAGCCTGATTGTTGCGCATGCCGAAGGTTGGGGCTGGTTGGTGAACTAACGCTCTTCCAATCCAATTGTCACTGCCGTGCGCCGCACGTGGCTGTCAGACTGCGCCGAGTAGCGTGCGTTACCTCGCTCTCACGCCCCCCGCCCCCCTTCCTCGCTCTCGCTGTTTATGTCTCGCGCCTCGTCCCCCGCGGTCGCCGCGCGCCCCGCGGCGCCCGGCTCGCGGCGGGGCCGCAGCGAGCGGCGCTCGAACGCTTCTAGCCGCGGCCCTGACTGAGTTGAAGCGATGTGATATCTGTTGTAGTCAGAGAACGTCTGCTGTAGAATACACGTGAACGTGTCACGGGCGGCGGTTTTACTCGCGCCGCGGCGGCGGCCGCGTGACTGGCCCACATTGCGGCACGTTTTGCCGCTCACGCATGGGTGGGGCAGGCGGCGCGCCAGCTGCTAGCTCCGGCTATGGCTCGGATACGGACTGAGGTGGTCATGACCTCACCGCCGCCGCCGCGCCCACCGGCGGCCCCCGCCGAGACCGCGCCCGGTCCGTGCCGCCTGCGTCGCGGGCACGGCGCGGGCGGCGTCGCCGACGCCCCGCTGCCCGGCCTCGGCCCGGTCAGGCCAGGTCGCACACTGCTGCCGGATGGCGCTGAGGCGAGCGGCGCTCCCCAACGGGGGTCTATAAAGCTGTGCAGTCTTCTGGGTCGACCAATCCGTTTACAAGGCGTGCACCAGACCGCACACAATATACGTAGAGAAAACGAGTCAGCCGATTTCCCGGGAGCGTTGGGGATATACGTACGGGTTTGGGAATCACGCTGCTTCTAAGGGAACATTTTCAAAGAGACAGAAATTGATCGAGCGTAACTTTTTGTGAAGAAATGAGGTGCTTGAAATTCAAATGGGCGTGAACACGTGCATTGCTGTGCGTGACTTTTACCAACCCGCTCCTCAGTGGGTCACTTTTCGGAGTAACTTGAACGCGTGAAGCTCTCTTGATGGAATTAATTTCACCATTCATTAAAAACACAGTGTATTGACTGGTTTTGTAATTTTTGGAGTAACGCTTAAGCTCCCAGAGGTCCATGCAAGGTCATTTACTCCAGAAAGGACCAAAATAGGACAAATTTCAAACGGCTGTCAAACCTGAATCTTTGAAGGTGGACAAATACTAAACATGAATGTATAGGTCATGAATAAAAGTGTCACAACAAAGCTCAACATGAATAAGGCAGATTTTGCAGGCGTTATGGGGTATGCTAAAACAACTTTAGGAGGTAGAATCACTCAAGGAGTACGGCGCTCAATCCGAAGCCTGGAAATGTCACTGAGGTTGTGAAGGTCACTACATGGCCAGTATATCCAGGCATGCATAGATGGATTTACTCTACGTTGTCCATTCATGCATCTTGGCAGCGTATGATGGCAAGCTAGTGCCATAGGGTCCCACGGCCAGACAAGCTCATGCAAGGTCAGTTAAGGTCATGATGTCCGGTCTTCCTTCTATGCCACCATTCTAACTCCACGAACTGTAGTGAAAATGCCACTTTATGCGCTTGGACAAATGCAAAGTTTAAAGTTTATTTACGTCATAACCTTTATTTTGACCATGCCATACTACACACCATTGTGTTCCTTCAACCGACATTCTGACACGGCCAGCCTGGCAACGACTCTGACGCCATAAAATTGTTACGAAACGTAATCAGACGATAGGCATATTTACTAAACTAGCGAAAGTTTGGAACTTTTGTCTAGAACAGGCCGTCGTGCTTAAAAGCATACCAGTGGCTCATTCCCCCCATGCGACCCTGTTCGATGCCTCCGTAGCGAGATCATGGCCAGGCCATTACGCAACAATTTAGGAAAGCACGGGGAGATGCCACACGTAGCTTGGGTCATGTTTCTCGACAGGGCCTATAGAGTCATCACTGGGATATTATTATTTGCTCTAGCAAACCCTGGCCTGAAAATACAATCATCTCACGTGGCCCGCAGCCCGTTACCGCCGCGTATCCGGAGACCACATCCCATCAGTTTGCCCCCCCCCCCCCCCCCCCGGGTGTGATTTGTTCACATCAGCGGCGCCAGCGACCGCTATGGGAGGCGAGCCACATTGGCCGCGACACCGCCAGCGTCACGTGATCCTGGGAACGGCCGGAGCAGCCGGCACCTCACCCTCGCTCGCCTCAGGCGACGCCGGTCGTGCGATGGCGGCGTCGCCGGCGCGCGGCGGTGAGCGGCGGCAGGCAGCGGCCCAATGCAAGTGGCTTGGAAGTGGCGCAGGACGGCCAGCCGCGGCGTGTTGTGCGCTGGGCTGCCGTATCAAGCTGCTGATCGGAGGCGGTCGCCCCCCGCAACTCGGTATTGATTGAACGACTGGCCCATGACCTGAATTGGTTCAATGTTTGATGGTGTGAGCTTACCTAGTCAGCACACTGTGTCGTCATGGCTGAATTAAACACCGATTTTACTGGCATAGCGCGATATCAACGGTCGACCTGCGATACTCAAACCGACCGTGGACGTGCATGAAGGACGGGCATTAATCATGCAGGCAACTGATGTGGGAGGCGTGCACAAGTCACACGGGGGTCGAAAAGAGAAGGCCTTCACCATGACTGGCAGGATGCTGAGCTCGCCATCCAGCTCTCGGTTTAAACCCTAGAGAGCGGGCACTGTCCGACCCACCGGAACAGCAGGCCAGGCTGCCGTCTGGCCCGAGGGCATGACCTGTTACGGCCGCGCCACACGCTTATTAGGCAAGGACCAATGAACACCGCGATTACTGCTGATAAGAAGGTTGGCGAAAAACCGTCCGTCCGTGATTACTGGCAATCAGGTCCGTAGTCAAGCGGGTGCACTGGATGCTCGTGCACCCCCAGGTACCTGGGATGCACTCCTCATTAGCTCCGTGCAACCCCTGTACTTCGAGGGAATGCTCCTCATTTGTTTGGGGTTTTGAACTGAAGCAGCCGTCTTGAAGATCGTCATGTGTGGGAAACCAGAGATGCAAGATTCGATTCACCGCGGTGCCCGCCCTTCCTGCCAGGGTGAGAGGCAGGCGACACCATATAGCCTCAGCAGCTGAGTGGGTTGTAAAGCTCCTCGCCAACGACGAAGATCATTCAGTGCAGTTCGCAGCCCTATCCTTTTTAAGACTTAAGCCCCTCTAGTTTCCGAGCTTCACGCCCGCGAAGATGTGCATATTTTTTTGGGGGGGGGACTATTTCAAGGTCACCTTATCTTCCATGACACCAAATATCGCCACACAAACTCTGTCATTCCATTTGCCAAGCAGCGATCAGGGCCAAGAAAATGTGATTATCGAGTCATTCATACCTGGCGTTCGTGACAACGATCCCAGATATAATGGCGGTCAATCGGTTTCAAATCAGTGTTGTGCAAGGTACGATGACGTAATCAAACAGTGACTTATTGAGGAGCATATTTGCTAAACAGGGAAAGTGCATTGTTTAGAACAGTCTTCTCCACTTGAAAGTATACCGTCAGTTACAGGTGAGTTTATTTCATCATGTCTAAGGCTTCATTATCTTGAAATGGGGAGCATTTTCTTGAAGGCATCTTGTTGCATGAATATTGGATGGAACCCTTCCTTGTGCGAAAATCTGCAACAAATTGCAAGGTAAATTATCCCTAGAAAAAGATGATGCTTACACCGGGCGTTTAACCATTATTAGCGCGCTGGTCCAACCCCTGCAGGAATTTGGTATGGCTTAGGGTCTGTTCGCAATGCAGTTGTATCGCTCCAGTCATGTGGTGTGAGCAACCACGTTTACTTTGAGCATCGATTCGCCCTACCACCAATTCGGAACAAACTTGAGAACGAGGCAAATGGAGGTCAAAGTCATCAAGTATCACTATCCCGAATCCTAACCCTGAGCCTGGGCAGCCGTGGTCATTGTCCACCAGTCATGACCCAAGCCGACCGATAACGCGGAAAACCGTCAGACGACCTCCGCCGGATATGGCAGCAATTCTGCGGTCCGCTGTTGCTATGCTGAGCAGCGGGCGACCACCCCTTTGTTGCCGCTGTAAAGAGTCGATGGCGTGGCCATGGTCCGATGCGTGCTGGAAGTGAGACAAGCCGTTTGCTAAATGGTTCCGCCCGGCCGGCAGTTTGCGTAGCGCGAAGTCGACCAAGGCCGACATGACTTTCCACTTCGATTTTTAATCTCCAGGTCCGAGCTGCGTCACTTCCCTTTCGCCTCAAACGATGGTGTGGAGTCCGCCATCCGTGACTGTCCGCTAAAGACATGCCACCTCAGCACATGAAGGCCCCCTGATGCCCATACACAGCATCCCAGTGTCTCAGGGGTCTTCAGTGAAACCAGCCCGGACGCGTTTCAAAACGGGCATAAAGTGCAAGCGTGCGGGAGCCACGTCGTAAGTTATCATTTCACGCGCCGTTCGGTCCGATTCGAGTCACTCAGCCGGAGCGGACATGAAGTGAGAGGACTTTAACACTCGCGCGGCTTTAGAAACGCGCCGACGATTGCAGCCACAACCGTTACATCATGCCGCTATCAACCACGTTGCACAGCATTTGGTGAGCGACTCCTCTAATATCAAGCATTCACAAACGATTTAACAGGCCGCAGTGCACATTGAACCGAACCCTGCAGG